CTTTGAGAAGCCAGCTCAATACACCTTTCCATTTAGTCTTAGAGAAGTTAGAAGATGTGGAATTGGATCACCAGTATGCCCCTTACATGCTATGAGAAGCTCAGAGCTGACCTTATTTTGAGGCACAGTGATGTATTTGAATGACATTGGTGCTCATATTTGGGGGCCCAAGGCCAGAACCGTAACCACCACATTTGGAAGGGAGAAAAATCAAAGATGTTTGTTAAGATTTATATGTAACTGGGAAGCAATGGACTGGTGGCAGATTATACAGAAATGTTTTTACTACCTATATTATTCAGGTTTGGAATGTTAGACCCCTGGTAAGAAGTACCCATTCACAATACTTAAATGAGGCCCCTTAACATATAACTTGTTGGGAATTTTGGATGTGAAATTTGATTTATTTTTCTTTTCACAAGAGGAGCTGAGTTTGTCTAATAGGAATCTTGTACTATATTAGACGTGGTTCTGGATGTTGAGCATCAAAAAAATAGACTTTTGTGCATTGGAATAATTTATTTACTTTTTATCATGACAGGGTTCCTTTTGTGTCTGAAATAAATAAGACAAAGAACCTGTTAACCTCCAGGATTTAAGTAGCATTCTGAAGAGCAAAATTCAGCCATGTGCCCTTGCATTCATCAGTAGACAGATCTACCCTCGACCTATACTCTTCCCCTAGCATGGCCACTCTGACAGGTGCCATTTCTTGTCTGTGCATCTGGGTCATCTCTTCAGCTCATGACTGATAGATAATTATAGGATGCTTGTTCTAAGATGAGGAAGCCTCTGGTTGAATGGAGAAAAATAACCAAGCAGGTATGTGCATTGGTCTAGTGCCAGAGGCAAGTAGAAGAACAGTCTTACATTACTGCCTTTGGGCCACATGCATCTTACCAAGGAATAAATGTGGTTGATGCTTGTCAAGGCTTACCCAGTGCATCTTTGCCATGTTCATTTATGCTGCACAGCTTATGACTTTGTGATTCTTCTCAGACATACTAGTTCTAAATTTATAGGGGATAATGACATCCAAATAGGTAAGGCAGAATTGAAATGAAGAATTGAAAAGTGAATATATTTTTGGGCAAAATATATGAGACCCCGTACCATCAGCCCTATTTTATATATATACTCTTTTCCAATAGACTCTTCCCCCGCTCACTCAGAAAATCACATCCCCTCCTCTTGCCTCCTCATTGCTAGCTTCTTTACCTCTGTGTAACTCTTCATCCTTCACCAGCTACCCAGGGCTTAATCTTTTCTTATTGTGGTAAAATATATGTAACATAAAATTTACTATCTTGGCCACATTTAAGTGTACAGTTCAGTGGTACTGTATGCATGTGTTTTGAAAGCATCACCACCATCCATCTCCAGGACTCTTTTCATCTTGCAGGACTGAAACTCTGTAGCCATTAAACACTAACCCCACCATCCCTGCCTCCCCCAGCCCTTGGCAGCCACCATTCTTCTTTCTGTCTCTGTGAATTTTACTATGCCAGTACCTCATATAGGTTGACTTATAAAGTATGTGTCTTTTTTGACTGACATATTTCACTTAGTATAATATCCTTAAGGTTCATCCGTGTTGTAACGTGCATCATTGTGTGCATATCTATATACATAAACACACATATATTTTAATTTTATATTTATAATTTGAATATTATGATGTTTTAATATCTTAAAAACCCTTTTTGACTGAGAACAGACTGTTCCTCTGGGGCTAGCCAATTCTTAGAGATAGCAAAGGGCCTAGCCAGAAGCATACTTTTGATATGCAGGCTAACCAATCCAGAGCCATAGTCCCTCTCTGGCCCTTACACTACAGGAAGCAGTATTCTTCTGCCTTAATCATCCCAGGTGTACTAGAGACCACAGTAATTATTCAAACAAGCCAATCCTAACTGTTTATCCTGCCTTGCTGTGTCTTTCCTGCTGAAATCCTATAAATTATATTATATATTTATATATAATATATATATTATACTATACTATATATTATAAATAATCATGGCATAAGTGCCTTCCCTCTCTACTTTGCCCTGGCTTCTGCCTCCTGACCACCCTGATGTCTTTCCCATGTGGCCCTACAAGGCATATCTCCAGTGTCCAGGACTTGTGAATATAATAAACTTTGTTATTCTGAGCCTCTTATCCTGCGGCTACATATGACCATCAAATAAAAGAATACAAACTTTCAGAATCTCTTTCCTTTTAAGGCTAAATAATAGTCCACATGAATACACTACATTTGGTTTATCCATTTATTCCTCCGTGGGCACTCGAGTTGCTTCCATCTATTGGCTTTTGTGCATGATGATGCTATGGACATGGGTGTACAAATATATGTTTGCTTTTAATTCTTTTGGCTATATATCCAGAAGTGGAATTGCTAGGTTATATAATTCCATGTTTAATTTTTTTTGAAGAACTGCTATACTGTTTTCTATAGTGATTGTATCTTTTTACATTCCCACCATGCTTGAGAGTTTCAGTTTCTCGAGTCCTTGCCACAACTTGTTATTTTCTGTTGCTGTTGTTTTTCATGGAAGTGAAGTAGTTATCATAATGAAGGTGAAGTGATATCTCATTGTGGTTTTGATTTGCATTTTCCTAATGATTAGTGCTGTCTTTTCAAGTGCTTAATGGTCATTTGAATATCTTTGAAGAAATGTCTAAGTCCTTTGACCATTTTTAAATCAGATATTTTTTGCTTATTTGTTGTTAAGTTGCAGGAGTTCTTTCTATGTTGTAAATTAACCACATATCAGATATGTGAATTGCATATGTTCCCTCCCATTCTGGAGGTTGCCTTTGCACTCTATTGACTGTGTCTGATACGCAGAAGTTTTACATTTTGATGTAATCTAATGTATTTATTTTTGTTGCCTGTGCTTTTGGTGTCATATGCAAGACATAATTGCCAACTCCAATGTCATGAAGCTTTTCCCCAATGTTCTCTTCTAAGAGTTTTGTAGTTTCCGATTTTACCTTTAGGTCTTTGATCCATTTTAAGTTAATTTTTCTATATAGCATGAAGTAAGGGTCTAACATCATTCTTTTGCATGCGGATATCCAGTCTACCCAACACCATTTGTTGGGAGACTGTCCCTTTCCCATTTGAATGATCTTGGCTCCCTTGTCAAAGATCATTTGTCAGGGCCATGAGTCTTTGAATTATAAGCCTTGAACCACCTGTGGGTCAGTCTCTTTCCTGGGTGCCACCGTCACTTTCTTAAAAGCTCCTTTTACTTTAGCATGATGTTGCTTAAAAGAGCATTTGCTTAAAACAGTTAATTTCCCCCTGATTTTGGGTGCACATGTATACATCCATATATGTGTGTGTGTGTGTGTGTGTGTGTTTATTCCAAACTGTTATCCCTTAAGACCTTCAATGTACTTTTGCACTTAATATTCATTTGTCACTTCCCACTTCAAGTTAAGGCTTTATGTGTGTAGGTCTTTTTTAATTTCATGAGATTAAACGCTCTGGAAGCCTAAACTTTAATACCATAAAACAACGAGAAAAGTCTCTTGCAAAAAGTAGGTTGTCAATTGACTGACTTAACACAGGCTCTTGAATGATATCACCAAAGGCTTTGTGGTGTCTAGAAACAGAAAACTTGCTGAATCCAGTGAAGCTGAAGAAAAATGATACTATTCATAGTAGTTAACAAATCTGTCTAAAATGAAGAACAGTCCTTTTATGAAATGTAAGCACTATATACATAACACATAGAATTGTGTTGGGGTGTTTCCCGAAATGCCAACAGCTCTTTGAAGCCAATATGACTTGATTGCCCTGACAGATGTTAGAGTAGTTGGCTCAAACTCATAATCATTGTTTTCATTTTCATGGAGGTGTGGAAAACGTGGCTTGGGCTACAGACTGCTGGATATGCAATTAATGAGATTGTGAGCTCAGAAGTGCTACTCATAATTCCAAAAGTAGAGTGCAGAAGTCCATTTGTGCATGATTATTTAGTAAAACTGGAGTAAGTTATTGAAATAGTTGAGGATACAAACACTCTTGTAGCTGTAGAAATGACTTGTTTCATGTGCAAAGGTTCAGAGTCTTGTTTGTGTTTCTCTAGGGAAGAAATATTCTGAAATCAGTGCTGTCATTCCCTTTATCAATTGCTAAGGGCAGAGGAAAGGGAACCTCCTTCTTTTCAGAGGGCATGAACCCTGACTCAGAGGTTGGCCGGCTCTGCAGTCTCATTATTGGTACTTGCTAAGGAAAGAGAAACTGATTTTCTTTACAAGGAAATGAACCAATTTTATCTTTGATGCACAATGTTGGATTACAATCTCTCGTCTATAAATTCTATGCCCTCATGGTTGAAACTGTAATTCTTTAACTTACTAAAATGTTATTCATTTTTGAGTTACAGGATTTTAAATCTGTGATATGTATGTGTCTTCAGGTTTCACAATGACAATAATCAGTATTCCTTATTCTTCTCTTATGTAGGCACTCTCCAGATCTTGGCTTTGAGTCACTTTGCTTTAGAACAATTAGTTATGCGGTCAGGTGACGGATAAGGAACTGGAGCCATCTTTGATATTACTCGTAACTGGGGTTTGACTTTATAGAAAACCCTGGCATCAAGGATCTTGTGCAGTGTCTTTAGTCATTTTATATTTATTGTCTTATATTTTCTTTGCCATATAATCAGCTTAACAAATATTGCAGAATATCTTTACAGTGATCTATTCCTGGCAACATGCAGTGTATAAATGCCCTGTTTTCCAAGAATTTGTTAAATACAAGTAAGAATCTCTTGTCCTTTGAGAATTTTTTTTCCTTTGAGAATTTTTAAAAGGAAGACAAGCAGGGTTTTAATTGCAACTGCAAGGCAAATCCAAAAGAAATATCCACCCCTTTTCTACATATCTGTGAGGGGTTGGTGCACGAGTCAAAGGAAGTCGAATACTTTCCTCGGCCACTCTGGCACAAAGTGTTAACGCACATGTATTTTTCTCCACAGTAAAACCGACCGTAATTGACGTTGACATCTATGTTAACAGCATTGGCCCTGTGTCATCAATAAACATGGTAAGAAGCTCTTTTCTTTTCTGATCTGAAGACCCTTGCAGCAGTTCTTACTTACATTCTAGCTGTGAGTTTCTGTTCGAAATTTATCATGCAGGTTTAAACTCACAATTGACTTCTTAAATCTATAGCATTGATGGGTAGTTTAAATATTGAAAATGGTTTTTAAAATTTTTAAAAATCAAGTAGTGGAGTTTGTGGCCATAGTAGTGAGACATGGCTCTTGTGTTTAAAAGGCATCTCATCCCCCACCTTCTCCACACACGTTATTTACTGCACATGGATCTTCAGATGAGATTATTTGCAATTATGCAGTCATTGACTATATTTGATTTCATTAATATTAGGGATAAATATAAATGACAGCTTTTTGACTTTTGGTTCAGTTTTTCAAGACCCCAAAGACTTGCCTCTTTTTGTTTCTTAGGAAAGAATCTGAGATTACCCAGCTTATACTTTGCTCTTCAATTTGAACTCAGGGGGTAAATAAACTATTTATTTATTTATTTATTTATTTATTTATTTGTTTGTTTGTTTGTTTATTTATTTATTTACAAGAGAAAGTCTGGCATCAAGTATGTGATTTTCCTGATTAGGGTATTATCACAGATTTAGAGGCAAAATGAGCTCCAGAAGTAATTGTGATGTGAAAGAAGGCTTTCCCTGTAAAAAGTGCTTAGCTGTGAGGAAAGTATTGGAATGCTAGAATACATTAGTTTAAAAGTGTGCCCTGAGGTGAGGTGCTCCAGGCCGGGGTGGGGCTCCCTGAATGGAGTGGACAGGGTTCCATGAGCGCACATTGACCTTTGTTGACCTAGTGATGGCAAGAGCTCTGCTGGGGGTCTTCTTTGTATTTCATACTTTACTGCTGTTCACTGGCTCCTGGGTTTGGTGAGGGGATGAGGCTAAGGGTGGGGAATTGCAGAATGCTGATTTAGATGCTGTCTTTTCATTGCAATATTCTGTAGATGGAAATAATCCCTCCAGAATTAGTAGCAAAATCAGTTCTTTTCATCGCCAGATATTAAAAGTGTTCATCTTTTCTCTGATGATATAAAGTTTTCCATGTAGGGGTAGAATTATATTTATGGGTGAGTCATTTAAAAAAAAACAACACGTCATCCATAAATTGGGGGTTGGACACTGGCAAAAGAGGTGAGTAAAAGAGAATTCACATCACACAGCCTATGGGTTGTGGATTGTAAAATGTAAATTTTAAGTGTAATATTCCCTTTCCTTGATAAATAATTATTCAGTTGACCACATAAAGACTGTAATCACTTCTTAGTTCATTTGTTTCTCATTCTGGAGTTTTATTTTCTTATATTAGTTCCACATTATTCGTCACCTTCATGTCTAACACTAACTCATATCTGACACTAAAAAAGGAGTGTCTCCATAGAGATATACTTACGAAATTATTTTAGAAACAGGGGCTTGCATTCATATGTCTTAGGAATTTTTGTGAACTCCTATAACTTTGAGATCTACTCTCTGCCGGGAATTAAGCTTTGCTATTGGAATTGATAGAAATTTCTGCCTGGAAGTCATAAGCTTCAGAGAAGGAGGCTAAGTGACAATCACCCACAGATTGATAAGGACTCTGCTCATGGGCAGGCACCCTATTGGCAGAGCTGGCAACATTTGGAATAGATTTCTCTGATGAGGTCTCAATCTGAAACTTGATCGATAGATGGGTGTTTTCCCAGTGGGGCAACATGAGGAAGTCCTCAGTAAAATGCAGGAAGACAGGTGTGTGACCTGATTGGGGGTTGAGGGGCTGGAGTGCTGTTTGAAAAGCCAAGGGAGTGGGGTGCAGCTAGACAGCACTTGGACCTGCCTGGGACTCAGGCCTTGAAGCCTTTAGGAAGAGTTGGGCTTCATCCTTAGGCAGACGTGGGCATTTAGGATGTGTGTAGACCCACTTCCATCTAAGATATATGTAGGTCAAATTTTGTAAGATTGTTCATATGCAGCAAGATCTCTCTTCAGACCCCCTTCTTCCCTTTTAGAGAGAGAGAGAGAGAGAGAGAACGAGAACAACTACATAGCATAGAACTGACAATGCTTTAAAATATTTATTTATTTATTTATTTATTTATTTATTTATTTTTAAATACTTTTTTAATTTATTCATGAGAAACACAGAGAAAGCGAGAGGCAGAGACACAGGCAGAGGGAGAAGTAGACTCCATGCAGGGAGACTGATGTGGGACTCGATCTCAGGACTCCAGAATCACGCCCTGGGCTGAAGGCAGGAGCTAAACCGTTGAGCCACCCAGGGATCCCCTAAAATCATTATTTAAAATAATTTACTCTGACCCCTTCATCAAGAGGGGTGAATGATCTTAAAATGGTCTGAGGTTTTGTAAGACCTCCATTATCTGAGAAAAATATATAAACATCAAAATCATAAATGTTTTGTGGCAGACACCAAAATACTGCTGTTAGATTTTTAAAAAGTGAGATTGAGTAGAAAGCTTTTCCAGTTAACCTCCCATTAAAAAAAAATTGCCTGAATATCTTGAAAATTCATTTGGTCCAATTTTTTTTTCTTTTTAGGAGTTATCTTTACTGCATTGAAAGGATAGGCCAATAAATGTTGGTTGCCTTTTATTTGTGAAAGTGAGGCAAGTGTCTAGGCAACCATGGGCAAGGTGAATGATAGGAAATGCATTGCTCTGGAAATAGCGACATGTTTATAGTCTGTTATCAGCAGAGCTAAAGCTAGAATTGTCTGGACTGTCCCCTTGTCTGCTTCCAAGAGAAATATTAATGTACTATTAACTTATGTTAACCAAGCAAAGCATAAAGTGTTCACAAAGTATTGATAGGTGATAGATAATAGGTAGATAAATAGATAGACAAAGGCTTGTTTTATAGATAGGTAGATAGATCAATCAATCTAGGTATACACAGATACATTTAAATATTCAATTCCTATGTTCTCTGGGGTGAATTTTTCTATTTCCATCTTTGTTCATTCAGTTAACATTTGACATATGACTACTGTGTATCATGCAGAGTTCTGGATGTAGGTTACCACAAAAATGAGTGGGAAGAGCAAGTCTAGATTCATAAACAAACCATCATGGTATACAGGTGTCAGAGCAAAGAGATTCCTGTGTCTCAAAAGAGGGAAGATTCCATTGCCCTGTGGGATGTTTCAGGAGGCTTGTGAATCAGGGGCTCCTAATTGCTTTTTTAGAAAACTTAAATGTTTATTTTTAAAAAAGACTTATTTTTAAGAGCAGTTTTAGGTTCATAACAAAATTGAGAGGAAGGTACAGAGATTTTCCATATATCTCCTGCCTTTGCACAGGTACAGCCTTACCCTTTATGAACACCACCCTCCTCAACCACAGTGGTACATTTGTTACATTCAGTGAACCTATATTGACTTCTTTATCACTCAGGCATCCTAGTTTACATTAGGTTTCACTCTTGGTGGTGTACATCTATGGATTTGAACAAATGTGTGAAGATGTATCCACCATTATAGAATCATACAGAATAGTTTCACTGCCCAGAAATCCTGTTTATACAGCTGCTTCTTGAAGGATGAGTATTTCTAACCTTTGAGCTCCAAATTTCAAAATTCTGCTTGGAAGTCAAAATGATAAAGGAGTTCTTTTCACACTGCTGAACGCATCATATATATCCACTCTATCTAAAACACCAAACAATGCAGTTTACAAAGAATGTAAAGTGCTTCAAAGTGGACCTCATGAAAAGTAAAAGCAGTTTAAAAGTAAAGAGCTGATGGTATAAGTGGGTATTGGGAATTGCGTCAGCAATACAAATAAAAAGAATATGAGAGAGACCAAAACAATCAAATTAAAGAATATATTATGCAGGAAAAAGTACAATTTAGAGATGTGTGTGGAATTTAAGGATGTAATTTTTTTTGGGGGGGGGTTGATTGCAATGCTAAAGCCTGGCAAAATTATGGCTCTCCCTCACCAAATATTCTTTTAACAATCAAGGAAAGAGAGAAAAAACTAATTCTACTTCTTTTCCCTCTCCTTCCTCCCACTTTTCTGTTTCTTTTATTAATATTAATACTGAAGATTCAGTTTCAGATATTCTCTCTGCTAAATAAAAATGAAGTTGCATTTCAATCTATTTATTGTTTAATAGACTGATTCTCGTCTTGTTTATGCTGGAGTTGTTTATGCTTTTTCTAGTTATTGAGGATATTAGAATTGGTTCACACAGGTTGAGGAGAATCTGTTTTTACAATCTTTTTTTAAAAAAAGATTTTATTTATTTATTCATGAGAGATACACACACAGAGAGAGGGAGAAGCAGGCAGAGGGAGAAGCAGGCTCCACACAGGGAGCCTGATGTGGGACTCAATCTCGGGCCTCGGACCAGGCCTTGGACTGAAGGCAGATGCTAAACCTCTGAGCCACCCAGGGATCCCCAGTTTTTACAATCTTTAATCGCATTCCGTGTCTTTGTCACTACAGCATATCTAAATGTGTACAATTCTTAATCAAAATTGTGCAGGGTTTATTTCAAGACTGGGACTCTGCAAATCAGGAGAGCTTACACATTTATTTTTGAGAGTGTTCACCATAAGCAACTTTTTAGGAAAGGAACAAAGAAAACTCATACTTTGTACCTACTTTGTGTTATCAACCTCATCTTCTATCACCTTCACAAGGCCATGGCAGAGAAGATCCTGCGCTTTTCCAAGTACTGTGTTTGTAGTGAGTATGTGAAGCTCACGAAGGTGGAAATCTCAGAGCAGTGGTTCCAGCTATGACCACCTGCACTTCTGTAACCACTATTAAAATACAGCAACTACAGAGCTTCAGCTTTTTTTTTTTTAACTGGGAAGCTTTAACTGGGAAGTTAAACTTTAACTAGGAAGTTGAGTTGATAAGGGCTCAGAGTGAGTGTAATGTTAAAATTGTTTTCCTTTTTTAAAAAATAATTAATAGAGTTCATTTTTTTAGAGGAACTTTAAAAATATTTTCCAAGCTTTTTTGACATAG